GACTCAATAGATAATGGGTTAAGAAAAAGGACAAGTTGCAAAATGTAAAATGTAAACTGAAAGGAAAAAAAAAACCCCACACATTTTTATATCCTTTAGAAATTCTCATATTTGGCCAGAGGGAAACACATATGTGAATGTTAATTGCATCATTATTTACAATGACAATCTTTAAAATAATTTAAGTGCTTTTTAATGGAGGGATGGAAATAAATGGGAATTTCTATCATGCAATTCTATAGAGCAGTCAAAAATCTGGTTTCTAGATGGATCTGTATGGATAAGTCACCCATCTAATGCTAAATTTTTTTCAACAGTTTTATTGGCACACATTTTACATATCATACAATGGAATAATTTAATCAGTCAATCATATCAAGGGGAATCGTACAATTAACACCACATATATCTTACGGTATCCCCACCCCATGGTTCAATCGTCTTTAAACTGAGTTGTACAGTTACTATTAGTTCTAGTGCCCTCTCCCTCCTCCCACCTTCAGTTTTTACTCCCAAATCCTCTTTCACTCCCTATTGCCCTTCCCCCACCCCGGCATGCCCTGTCATACCTGTATCAGTTGTTATCATAATACACCCACTCCTGTGCTTCACTGCTGGGAAACGTAAAAGTAGACAATGAAACACAAATCGCACTAAGGTGGTAAGGACAGATCATATTCATGCATGTGCACATCCGTCTTTTTTTCTTGTTCTTTCTTATTTTCTGGCATGACAATGTTCCCAGATTTATTTAATAATTTCACTTCCTTAGCCCTTTCCCAAGTCCTGGAGTCTATAGAAGTGAAGATCCCAGTGCTGTGGTGATTGCTGTGTTGTTCATTGTCTTTAGGCCCACTCAGGCGGAAGCAGTGGAGGGGATAAGGAAGATGTCGTAGCAAACTGTAGGAGAGATCATACTGGTATCTCAAATTCCATTTCAGTGACACAATAACTAGTTTGACGGGGCTCCCCTTGGCCACTTGTGATACGACTTGAACGTCAACATGGATCGCACTGCCGTTGAGTGGAGTCAGACTCACAGAACTGCCCTGTGGGGTTCTGAGACTGTAACTGGAATGGGAATAGAAGCCTCATCTTTCTCCTGAGGAGCAGCTGGTTGTTTTGAACTGCCGACCTGTGGTTCACAGCCCAACGAATAACCCACTAGGCCACCAAGACTCACTCAAAGTGAATAGTGAAGATACAGAAAGTATTTTTACGAAAAATCTCAATGACAAACAACAAAGTGAAACACAGAAAAGCCTCAGTCTGATGGAATAGAACAAATTAAAAATGTTTCAAAACAAATGATAAAATGTTAAATTTTAACCTAACTTTGTCTGCAGCAATCCACTTTCCAGTTCTCTGAGGGCAAGAACGTTCACGTTTGGTCAATGTTCTGAGGGAGTTCACTGGAGAGTCAGTCCAAGTGGGGGCTCTGCAAGTGAATGCTGGGATGCCACTATCATGCCTAGCCTTCCGCAAACTGGGTGCTCAGTATTCAAGCTTTAATATCATTTCCTCCTGCAGTCTTGGATTTTATTATTTACAATCTTTGGATCACATGGGCTGGTGTGCTTCTTCAGTGTGGTCGTAGCTGACACCTCACTTAGGTGGCTGCTTGTTTTAAGATAAGCTTTTAAGACCCCAGACGCTATATTTTCCGATAGCCAGGCACCATCTGATTTCTTCACCGCACTTTACTATAGTACCCATATCTTCAGAATCACTTCATAAGGGCGAGTGTTGAACATTGTAAGAACTAACTGTTCGTAGATTAGAGTTTAGGATTGAGGGTGAGTTCAGAACTCTTTATCTGAAATCCAGAGTAGGTCACAGACACAGTAACTAGATGACTAGTTCTAGACACTGATGGCTGGGGAGGTCGTGGGTCAATGAGGAGCTAATAGTAATGGATACAAGGATGAATAAAATGATTTGAAATTGGTTGTGGTGCTATTGTACAACTCTAGATATGTTTAAACCATTTTGTAGTTTGTGATGTATGCCAATAAAACAAACATTTTTAATCCTGGGAAATCACAGGAACATAAATATTCACATCTCAATGTATGTTAACATAAAATGGAGGGATTGAATAAACATGACATGGTTATTTATAGCAAATATTACAAAATGTTAACAATGGGTAAATTTGTTTGAAAGTATGTGGGAGTTTTTTGTTCTCTTCTTGCAATGCTTCTGTAAGATTGAAATTACTTCAGAATTAATACTTCATGATGATGCTGTTTAGATGTAAAAACATAATAAATTAAAAATGCCATATATGTATAAATAATAACATTTAAAAGCAATGATGTGGACAAAGGCATGATTGTATCTAGGGAGAATGGTAGAGGAGTATTGAGGAAAGTATAAGAGACTTCAAGTTTAACTGTAGTATTTTTTTTGTTAGTTACCTAGTGCTTCAGTAACAAATACCACGAGTGGATGACTTTAACAGACTTATTATATCATAGTTTAGGAAGCTAGAAGTTGAATTCAAGGCAGCAGCTCTAGTGAAAAGATTTTCTCTTTCTCTGGGCTGTGGGAGAAGGTACTTGTCTCCTTTCAGCATCTGTGGGCCCAGGATTCCTTGGAGATCTACCATATATACTCGACTATAAGCCGGCCCGAATATCAGTGGAGGCATCTAATTTCACCACAAAAAACGACATTAAAATGTGCTTGAAAACTCAACTTATACTGTAGTATATACGGTTCTTGTGTTGTGGCACAATCTCTTCTTTTGCCTAGACGGTTCTCAACACAGCAACACTGAGTCGGGAGAACATGCTTTGCTCCCAGCTCTTCATTTGTGGCTGTGGTGAGGTCTCTCTCCCCCCTGCTTGCTTCTCTCACCCTTGATCTCTTGTTCTAGAGAAAAGGGTTAGCATTTGCAAAACCAAAACCAAACTCATTGCCATCGAGTCAGTGCCACCTCATAGTGGCCTGTAGGACAAGGCAGCGCTGCCCCAGTGAGTTTCTCCTACTGTAACTCTTTATGGTACTAGAGCGCTCTGTGTTTCCCGGAGAACAGCTGTGCTTTCAAACTGCTGAACCTACAGTTTCAACTGGTGACCACTACACCCCCTGGGAACATCAGCTCATAAAATGGAGGATATTTGTGGGATAAAATTCATCTGTGACACTTAAAAAAAAAA